TTAAGGATTTTAAAATATTCCAAACCTGTACGCTTAAAAAAAAAAAATAAATAATAAATAAATGAAGTTAACTTATAACACAAACAAGGATAGGATAGGATATAAAATTTGAGAGAAGTTTTGGTATACTGTACTGTATTTCTGAAGTGCCATTCGTTTTGGGGTTGGTACAATCAGGAGTTACAGTCGATCCAACAAATATAAAGTACTATCTATTTCCTTACATTCGAAAAAGGAGGATTTTGGATGCTATATCTAAATTTGCTGGAGATTGAAAAATTAACTGTTAACTCCGTTGTTAGAGAACATAGAGTGGTACATGACTTTCGGACTGGTATAGTCCTTCAGTAGGCCTATGTACTCTAGGTGTAAATAAATACAGAGAATAGGCCAATTTTAGTGAGAACTAAACATGTTTTAATAACGTAGGGCCTAAATACAATGCAAAGCAGATTGATCACAAAATCAGAAGCATGATTTCAAACATCAGAACCCAGCTTTTATTGCTTAAAACTGTCGGGGCCCCATTGAATGAAACTACGGTATTATAGTTTATATTATATATATTTTTTTTAAGTTTTTTTTTATTTTCAATGCAAAATAAATGCGATCGTTAATATTGACCTTGGTACAATGTAAACCTGTAATCATATGACTACTTATACAGAATTTTACTATATTATAGGCCTAGACTAGGACCAGGCCTCCTACTATAGCAAAGAGGCTTAGTCCAAGGCCTTGTTGCAAATCCCAGCCCACATGAGCCTAGCCTATAATGCCTAGCATAGGGCTTGTTTTCGCGGTACCCTGACCATTAAAAATTAGCAGACCCACTGGGAAGCGTTCACGGCATTGGACTATGGGGTGCCATACGCAGCAAAAGTCAATGTTAAAATCAAAATGTAATTGCAAAATTCAATGTCTAATTTATTAAAACGTAGACGTAAATTTCTCAAAATGTAGATCTAGTTTTTCAAAATGAAGTTCTAATTTTTCAAAACGTAGTTCAAATTTTTCCAAATGTAGTTCTAATTTATTTAAAATGTAGTTCAAATTCAAAACGTAGGTGTGACTTGATCAAACGCTCTCTCCAAATTATATTTCAAAACGTAAATAAAAAACCAGCTTGGTTTGAAATGCATTTTACAACAACACTAGAAATAGACTTTTGCTAATGTAAATCAAACTTTTGCACTAGACTTGCGAAATGTAAATCAAAACTAATCAGCCAAGCATGACGTGGGCCTGTTCCATTAATGATGGGGAAATCATTTTTCGCTGCAGTCCAATGCCGTGAACAACGCTTCCCAGTGCGTCTGTTAATTTTTAATGGTCAGGGTACCGCGATCACGAGCCCTATGCTTGGCATTATAGGTTAGGCTTATGTGGGCTGGGATTTGCAACTAGGTCTTGGACGAGGCCTCTATACTATAGTAGGAGGTCTAGGCCTCTATACTATAGTAGGAGGCCTGGTCCTAGTCTAGGCCTATAATATATATTCTGTATAAGTCATATGATTACAGGTTTACATTGTACATACCAAGATCGATATTAACGATCGCATTTATTTTTCATTGAAAATAAAAGAAAACTTTAAATAATTTAACTTAAGAATTTTAAAATATTCCAAACCTGTACGCTTAAAAAAATAAATAAAATTTAAAAAAAAATAAATAAAGTTAGCTTAAAACACAAACAACGCGATAGGATGTAAAGATTGAGAGAAGTTTTTGTATACTGTACTGTATTTCTGTCTATAAATGCCATTCGTTTTGGGGTTGCTACAATCAGGATTTACAATCGATCCAACAAAGTAAAAGCACTATCTATTTCCTTACATTCCAAAAAGGAGGATTGGGTGCTATTTAAATTTGTTGGAGATTGAAAAATTAACTGTTAACTCTCTTGTTAGAGAACATAGAATGGTACATGACTTTCGGACTGGTATGCCTTTGGGAATGTAAGGAAATAGATAGTGCTTTCCTTTGTTGGATCGATTGTAACTCCTGATTGTAGCAACACCAAAACAAATGGCACTTCAGAAATACAGTACAGTATACCAAATTATTCTCTCAAACTTTATATCCTATCGTGTTGTTTGTGTTTTAAGTTAACTTTATTAATTTATTTTTTTAAGCGTACAGGTTTGGAATATTTTAAAATCCTTAAGTTAAATTATTTAAAGATTTCTTTTCATTTTCAATGAAAAATAAATGCGATCGTTAATATCGATCTTGGTACAATGTAAACCTGTAATCATATGACTACGGTACTAATTCAGAATTTTACTACCGTATATAGGCCTAGACTAGGACCAGGCCTCCTACTAATAGAGGCCTCGTCCAAGACCTTGTTGCAAATCCCAACCCACATTGCCTATAATTCCTAGCATAGGGCTCGTGATCGAGGTACCCTGACCATTAAAAATTAGCAGACGCACTGGGAAGCGTTGTTCACCGCATTGGACTGCAGCGAAAAATGATACCCCCATCATTAATGGAACAGGCCCACGTCACGCTTGGCTGACTAGTTTTGATTTACATTTTGTGTGTCTGTGCCATAAGCAGCAAAAGTCCATGTTCTACTGTTGTTGTAAAATGCATTTCAAACCAGGCTGGGTTTTGATTTACGTTTTGGAATAGAATTTAGAGAGGGCGTTTGATCAAGTTAGACCTACGTTTTGAATTTGAATTACATTTTAAAGAAATTAGAACTACATTTTGGAAAATTTGAACTACGTTTTCAAAAATTAGAACTTCATTTTGGGAAACTAGATCTACATTTTGAGAAATTTACGCCTACATTTTGATAAATTAGACATTGAATTTTGCAATTACATTTTGATTTTAACATGGACTTTTGCTGCGTATGGCACCCCATAGTTAACACTGTTAAATCATATATAAATCATCAAAGAAAGGTAAATACACTGTTTGGTTTCCACAGGCCATTTGCTCTGAATCTGCAGAAGGTGAGTTCTTAATCTTACCCTCATATTTCAATAATGTTCTGTTTTCGTGTAAAAATATGACAAACATTTAGTTTTATTCAATCTGTTTATGTATAGGTACATATATTTATTTCACAACAAATCATGAGATTTGCTTTATTTGTTGCACGTTTGCAGTAAAATATAGATGGTGGGAGGGTTAATTTTACATGCAATCTCTCGTCGTCATCTCCTTCTATAAGCCTAAGTTATCCCCGGTTCTTGGTATTTTGTTCGATGAAAAGCCCATCTGAACATTACTCCACTCACCAGGCCCGCATCCAGCTTTTTGAATGGGGTCAGGCCCGTATCCAGCTTTTTGAATGGGGGGGGGGTGCGTTTTGCGAGCACAGCGAGCAACCAGGCTGGGGGCCGGGGTACCGCTCAGGGCCCCGATCGGGGTCCAGGGGCCGAATGCCCCGGAAAAATTTGCTTTCTTACGTCCTAGTAGACTAATTTGAAGGCATTTTATCATGTTAATCTCTATATGTCCGTGAACACATCGATAGGGCCTATCAAAAAATTACCAGTGGAGGACATGGAGAAACAAGCAAATTGTTTCCCAAATGAAAAATACTACTGTATAAATTCGTAACCATTACGAATAAAAATTCAAAACCAATTCGGATTTTAAATGAATAATAGCAAAGTTTGATATAAAGAGTGGATTAAAAGCGACTGTAAATGAGCTGATTAAAACAACTAGAAGCATTTGAAACAAATTAATCAACATTTTTATTCTTGGCATCGACAGAAAACATATACAGAGGTATAAGCATAATTATACTGCATGTATACGCTATCTATCCATTGAACCCGTGACGGGGTATACTGTATAAAATGATCATCATGATACGAGTAACGTTGTACGTTTTAATAGCAACATCACTTACATTTTTTATAAGAGCACATTTTATAAGAAGAATGAGGCTGTCGAAATTGCGGAAAAATTAAGAACAAAATTTTCATTTTATAATGATTATAGAATCAAATCACATTGTAATAAATACCCTCTTGAACATTTTCATAGAGTGTGGAGACAAACTATGCTACAACAATGGATATTGTGAAGAGGATGATAGTGGAAATTTAGCCTGTGATTGTCGTGGAACTGGGTTTCGTGGAGAAGAATGTTCAGAAGGTAAATCTATGGCGTCAGTAGAGCAATGAACTTTCAATGGCACTAAAGCTAGATAAAAACAAATGTAACAATCATCCTTAGAAATTCAGTTACGTTCCATTTTACAGTCATAATTGGTCTCAAAACAGTACTCTAACTCATTGTAAGGGCGTGCAGTAATCTCTCTTTGGTTGTTGGGACTTTTGGGTATTGGTAAGCAATCCCTCGTAATTTCATTTCATTTCTTCAGGCACGAGCGCCAAAGACATGCCAATAAGTGAACTTAATCATTGTCCTAAAAACAAGGTTCAGTTTCTCTATGATATTTAACAAAAAAAAAATCTTTTTATATTTAAATGTACAATGCTTAAAATTGATTGAAACAGGCCCGGAATTTGTAGAGGATCAACCCTGTATTACATACAGTATGCGTTTCAAAAAAAAATGTTAGGAATATATGCTAATCACCCAGTCATTGATTCAGTCAAATCAAATCTACAATATTGTGTTCAGGGCACCGTACATAGAATCAGATTGATGATCACCAATACAATGCATTGTTGACACAAAGGAATAATATAATTATGATATTTGATGTTCCAGATGATCCGTGCAGCCCAAGTGAATGTTACCCAGGAATGTGTCTGTATGATACGTCAGATCCTGCTGGGTTCGCGTGTATGTGTAATGGTACTGGTCTAATGGGTCCTCTGTGTGATGAAGGTAGGTTCTATGTTCAGTCGATGTGTTAATTCGGATTATGTTATAATTAAGTTTCAAGTTTCAATTTTATTTGCTACTGATGCCATCGTGGGCAAATATCCGCCAAAACAATACGGTACATAATGACAATGAAGGCAATATACACAAAATAATAATACAAAACCAGACTAAACTTAAAGCAAAAAAATTGGTGCATGGACTTATCAACGAAGAAGAGGGTCGTCCAAGATCCCTAAGGCAAAAATTGTTCACCTACATACCCAGTGATTGAAAGAGGATTACGGGAATTTACATTTCAAGTACGTGATATCGGTCGTGATGGGAAGGAAATGGGTTAAGATTTGAATGGGAGAGCGCAGAGTGAAGGAGTCGAGGTTCTTGCTTGGAAGGGAAGGTAACACAATTATCTGTCATTGCGTAGAGACATTACATGGTATTTAAGTTATTTTACGTCGTTTCATTTATTACACATATTATTTCTAACGATTTATTTTAGTTTTATCTTAATTTCTTTTAAAATAAATTTAGACGACCCATGTTCACCAAGTCCGTGTGAAAATCGTGGACAATGTATTTACGATGAAAACTCAGTGGATGGATATACATGCGACTGCCATGGTACCGGGTTCATGGGAGAAAATTGTGAAATAGGTTAGTGAGTATATTCAGTCTTGGACTTATTTTATTGTTTGACCCTCCAGATATGTTAATACATTTTCTTTAATATAAGAACCATTAAAATTTTGCCAAAACTCGATGGTTAAATCGGTGGCTCGGGTCACGTGACTTATAGTGGGTATTACCCCGGTATTCCTTAAAACAAACTATCGATTCGTCGAAGGTAACTATCGATTCGGTCTACTAAAATTCGCTTTGCCACACTTCCTTTAAAAATTGTTTTAATTGGTTAATTTTGTTTTTCTACCAGATGATCCTTGTCATCCAAGTCCATGTGAAAACCGTGGGGTGTGTGTGCAGAATGGTAAAAGTTATATTTGTAAGTGCAGTGGAACTGGTTTCATGGGACCTGATTGCGAAATCGGTAATGACATCTTTTTATTAATTGAACTACTAGCAATAATAGTATAATCATTCTCGTCATCAAGGTTGTCATCATTATGGCCATACATCGCTTTTATCATCATTTATCGCGGCAAGGATCGATCATGATGACGATGGTATAATGAATGATGAAGATGCCAATGATGACGACGACGACGATGACGATGATGATATCTAGGCCCTTGATATATTTTACAGTAATCGGTGTAGACTTCATGGCTGCCTACCTGTAGTACTTTTTATAGACCAACACATACATACATACATATTAATGTGATTTTATTGTGTTATACAGACGACCCCTGCTCACCCAGCCCATGTAAGCAGGGTAAGTGTGAACGACTCGATGATGACGGCAACTTTCTCTGCGACTGTTCTGGCTCAGGATACGGAGGAACCTACTGCGACATCAAACAACCATTTAAAAACAACGGCAATGATCTATTGAAAATGAAAATGAAAGCTAAAAGAAACTTTTAAACATCTAATGGTTTTTAAAGTATTGCAGTATATAATAAATATATATATATAAATAATGGAATGAGGGTTTACTCTCGAAAGACATTGACTGATCTCCTGACATGCCCCTGGAACAATGATATCATAGTAAAAATTTTAATGAAAGATT